TGGATTATGTGTTGGTCTACAAACTTGGCTTTTGACAGAGCTGTTGTGTAGCTCAGGCTAGCCTCAAAACTCCCAGCAGTCCTCCTACCCACAGCCTTCCACATACTGGGTCTATAGAATAGCACACACCACCTAATTCAGCCGTGTGTTTTTATTTGGTCATTTGTTGGTGCTGTCATTTCCACTTCATTTTCCAGTCACCGTGTAGCCTGCCTGACACTTCCTAATCTTCTTAGCTGTATTCAGAACTAGAACTGATATGATCAGGCATGGCTTCCTCCTCTTTGTTATGTTCCCTTAGCTTCTCTCCCCATCACAGTTTTATTCCTGAAACGTTCAAGGTTTGCCTCAGTGTCCCACAAACCACATCAACAAATGCTATGAAGGGGACACAGGCCCCCAAATTTTACTGGTTCTGGTGTCAGTATATTTTAAAAAGCTCTCTAAGGCTAAGAGAATACCCACAGATGCCAGTGTGAACAATGACAGTTTAACTATCAGGGCCAGAGAGACGGATCGGCTGTTCAGGACACTTGCCGTTCCTACAGAGGACCAGGTTTACTTCTTAGTTTCCATATTGGGCAGCTCACAAACATTTGCAATTCCATTTCCAGGGAATCAGGTGCCTTCTCTTGGCCTCCATAGGTTCCTGTGTGTCTATGGTGCTTGTACAGACAAGAAGGTACACACACATACACGTAAAAACCTGTTTTTTAAGTTAACAAGTCATCATCAGTGAACTGGAAAATAATTGTACGAAATATACCCAATGCAGCATCCTCAGACTGTGGTTGTAGCTCAGCAGCAAAACTGAAACAGCTCACTATCGGGAAAATTGTGTTATCTGCTTTGTACATAGTGGGGAAGCATTGGGTAAGGTCACGTGCCATCTCAGATTGTAGGGAGCAATTGCAAGAATGAAGCTCATTTACTGATATTTAAAAGGGTTGTCTTAAAGGAAGACTTTATAATATTATAATTGACTTCTGTCAGTTTTCATCTTAGATACTCTAGTGACCATTTTGTAATCTCTTCTATGATGGGGTACAATGTGAGACTGCCAGATTGATTGCCTTAGGAAAGGAAAGTGACCTCCCCTAGCTCACAGGCTGATCTGAGAACTCATTATTTAATACTTAAAGCCACATATGGCCCTGCTAGTTTGGCAGAGTGGTATGTGTGCACATCTGCTTACTTGTTTGTAAACACCTTGCCCTTTTAAATTTCAGTTCCAAGAACCCAGAAGAGGCAGAACTAGAAGACACCCTCAATCAAGTGGTAAGGTGTTTCATGGCCACACCCATTACGCTTTGTAAGGCTGCTTTTATATTGGGCCTGAAATGTGCAAAGTCATAAGTATTTTGATTTTGAATTTATGGTTTTACTCCTAAATTTTACTTTTAATGTTGGTACTTTGCTTCTTTGATTATTTTATTATATGCATATGAGTGTTTTGCTTGTATATATGTATGTATATGTACTAGACACTAGACGTGTGCTTGTGCCTGAGGAAGTCAGAAGGGTGTTCTATCTCCTTGAAGTGGAGTGACAGATAGTTGTGAGCCACCATGTGCTAGGAATGGAACTCAGGTCCTCTACAAGAACAGCAAGCACCCTAATCCGCCGAGCCATTTCTCCAGCCTTAGTACTTTACTTCTTGCTACTAAGTCTAGTCTAATCAACTGAGATTTAAGGAATGGGTGGCAATGTTTATTTTGAACATTTCAGGGTGAGTTTGTGCCAGGGAACTCAGGAATCCTTGGCTCCTAGTGGTAGCTAGAGACAACAGCTTGTGAGTACGCTTCACTAAGGTGTTCTTTCCCTGGTGTTGCAGATGGTGGTCTTCAAGTACATCGAGGACAAAGATGTATTTCAGAAGTTCTATGCAAAGATGCTTGCCAAGAGACTGGTACATCAGAACAGTGCGAGTGACGATGCTGAAGCAAGCATGATCTCCAAGTTAAAGGTACTTACTCTTTTCCTGGAGAGTCCCAACTTCCTCAGGCTTTATTGACATGGTTCGTGCATTGTGAGCCCTGCTTCCCAGCCAGGCCTCCGATGCTTTCCTTCCTCTGCCACCCTGTTTTGGGTCCTTCTGTTCCATGTAGCCCTGCCTTGTTGGCTCTGTGTCAATGCTTAGTGGTTTTCTTAGCCTAAACTGCCAAAACAAAATACCATGGGCCAGGAAGCTTAGGCCCAGAAATGAACTCTCCATTCTGGGGGCTCAGAAGTCTAAAATCTAGTCTTATTTCTGAAGCAGGCTCTCCTGGCTCTCAGTCAACCACTTTATTTGGCCCGTTACTCACAGGGAACATCCTCTTAAAGAGCTACCTTACACTCATGAACTTATAAGGACCCATCTTCAAACACTTCCACTTCCAGGTTTAAACTTCAGCAGGCACATTCTAGAAAAGACAGTTCAATGGTAGGATAAGGGACAGCCAGATTATTTGGGCTATGGAAGGATGTGGTTTGAGGGTCATTGACAGCCCAGGCTAGCCTCTGCCTACAGAGGACAGGCATCACTCAGATGTGCATCAGTCCACCTGTTTCTGTACTCTTTCCTAGTCATGATCTATTGCAGTGCTAGAACACCTTTAAATTGCAGCTTTAAATGCTACAGTGTTTACTGTGTATTGAAGACCCAAATATCCAACTTGTAATGGTCTTTTTATAATATACCATTTTAATCTGAATATATTTATGCCATAAGATATGACTAAATCTTAGTAGTAGTAGTTTCATAGAACTAAAGACAAAGATATATTGTTGTGTGATTTCTCTAAAAATCCTTTATATGTATTGCATACATTCATGTTTCTATGCCAAATTAATGAGACAGTTGTCTGGGTTTATTTCAGCAAGCTTGTGGTTTTGAATACACTTCCAAACTTCAGCGAATGTTTCAGGACATTGGTGTAAGCAAAGATCTGAATGAACAGTTCAAAAAACACCTGACGAATTCAGAGCCGCTGGACTGTGAGTACTGCGTGCTGGCTCATAGGAGGGCTCTTTGGGCTTTTGGTAGCGGATGAGACAAGTGACAGAATATGGATTGAGGGTGGTAAATGGGGTCAGAGTTTCAAAGACTAAGAAGCAGGCGTTTCCTTCCAAGTGCTCTCTCCTCCTCCTCACTCCCAGATGCTATGATGGCAGCTTTTGCTGGGGCCAGTCATGTGCT